TCGCCCAGGCGGACGCCGCTGCGCCCAGCACGGCGGGGGGCGCAGGTTGGGCCCGCAGTCGGACCAAGTCACGGATGAAGCGACGGGCGCCTGTGCTCCAGTGGCCGCCGGTCTCAGACCCCAGCACAAGCAGTTTTTGCGGGCCTCCGTGCGTGAGCTCGGGGTACGCAGCTTGCTTGCGGGGCTCATTTACTTGCAGGGCGGCATCAAATGCGGCCTAGAAGTACTGTAAATAAAACCTTTGATTTAAGATTCTCCAAATCCACAATTACATATACACCGCCATGAGCAGCTTCTTCCAAAATATTGCCTTTCGGAGCCCTGGACCCCGTCCGAGGGGCGGGGAAGGCAATCAAATATGCCCTGGAGGTACCGGTAAACGAAGCAACGGAGCGCACACTGACAAACAGGCCGACCTCCCACAGCCCTTGACAGTCCGCGCGCGCTCATGAACCTTGGCATGACGCTCGACCCCAACAAGCGGAAACACAGGTTCTGCTTGGAACTGCGTTTTTTCTCCGCACTACGGCTTTACAAGTCCTGCCTGTTGCATCGCTTTGCCATCGATTCATTTTTTGCACCAGCAACTGCCAGCTGAGATTTCAGGTTAGCATGCCCCCAAAAGACCCCAAAGGCCTACATGAGGAGAGGCCTGTAGCCAGATTTGCCGAGCCACGCAAACGCATCCAGAACTGTCAGCCGTGCACAGATGATCGCAGACCCAATCTATCAGATGTTAATGGCTCTCCGTGGATTGGCAGATGATAGTCATTGGCCTGTACTTGCCAAAGGTTCCATGGAACGAGTGCAAACAAATGTGGCCTACAAGTACTGTAGAATCTTTGATTTAGGATCTTTCACATCCAGAAGCAAAAAAGCGTGTCCGAGTGTGATGCATTTTTTGCTGGCACGCGCGCCGATGCCGCCTCGCTGTCCCCGGCGTCGAGGTAGGTGGCCGCTGGTCGCATGAGGCAGCCCAGTTCGTCCGTTCGTTGGCGCACGCACCCGCAGCAGCGACGCCTGCCCTGCGCGTCACCGCCCGGGGTGCCTGGGTACAACGCTGGAGTGGCATCCTTTACGTCGCAGCACAGCGAGCCTTTGCAACGATGTTTCGCCCCCGGCCAACTACCTGCTTCGCATGCTCCCCCCTGGGGCGATTGCGGACTTTGCCCGCGGAATGCCGGGGACACGACGACGCAGTGCAAGGTTGCCTGTCCACGCTCTTGGACCAAGCCCCCGACCTGCCCCTGCCCGAGCAAGCGCAGCGGACGCTCCACCTCTCCGTTTTGGCGGGCTGGGACTGCGCTCTGCTGTCGGCACCGCGCGCTGCGTACTGGGCCTCCTTGGGCCGACTGCCTACCTGCCATCCGCGCTCGCGCCCCGGAGGTCGCTGCGCAGCTGCTGCAAACTTTGCAGGCGACGGCCTCTCGCGGCGGCCCAGCAGGCTGCGGCCTACCATCGCGGGCAAGGTTATGGTGTGCCGGACTGGGGCTCCACGCAGGTCGAAACCCAGGCATCGGTCGAGCGGGAATTTGGGGAGCCGTTACGCGGGCGGCAGCGACTTGCTGTTGCAGCCGGCGATGAGCGCGCGCTCGAGTTGCAACTTTTTCACCTTGATGCCGCATCTCGTGCGCTGCTGCTGTCGCAGGCTGGGCCACACGCTGCGCCTTCACAGTCTTCCGGAGCTGGCGGTCTCCTCGCCGCAGTTCCGGGTTTTCCTGTTGCGACGCCTGTGACGGACGCTGCTTGTGGCGCCACGCGCATGCGCTTGTCGGGCTCGCCTTGACCCGCTTGGTGACCACCGGGCTGCATGTGCAAACGCGGGCGCGCTTGCCTCCCGCGCTTTGCCCCTCGAGCGGGCAGTCGCGCACGTCTGCCAAGAAACTGGAGCTCGGGTTGCACGGAACGTGCGTCAGGCGGACATGAACATCGATGTGCCGGTCTCAACGACCGCCGCATCGAAGTTGTCGCCAATGGGCTCCCGCTCTGGCACGGTTCCCAACAAGCCAGCGACGCCACCATCGTCAGCCCAGTCACGCGAGCAGGCGAGGCGCAGCCTGGGGCTGACGCCCGGCCACCGCCGCAAGCGACGCCAAACGTGTCCCGAGCTTGTGCGCGCCCGCCGCTGCCGCTTGGTGGTCGTTGGTGTTGAAGGCGGAGGCCGGTTCAGTACGGAAGCTGCCACGTGGCTACGCTTGCTTGCGCGCCACCGTGCATCTGCGGCCCCGCAGCTATGCAGTCCGCTGCACGGTCCGTGTGGGTGGCTCGGTGGTCCGACCTTATTGCGGTCGCGGCACACAGCGCCTTGGCCGCCTCAATCCTCGCCGGGGAGGGCAACGTCGGAGGTGAAGCGCCCGAGCTGCACGATGTCCTCGCTGACGTGCGCTGGCAGCTCCCGGTCCATGCAAGCAGGTTAGGGCCCCGCCGAGCAGGCTGGGCCCAGGCTGCCACCATGCCGCTACACCTCCTCGCATTTGTAGAAGTTCGACTTGCTCACATATCCCAAAACAAGGATGGCCTCCCAACGCAGCCACAGGGAAATGGTACCAAGGACTAGTGCGAGGGAGGTGCAAAGTCTCGAGGCAGGCATGTTAGCACACATCAACATGCACACGCACACACACACACACACCGTATGATACTGTTTATGGGCATGCTTTCAGCCTTTCATATCTGATTTCATACATTTTTTTACTGGTTTGCGAGGTGTTGTGTGCTTAAAATCCACGAAGTTTCACATATGTTGCCGTCCCTCATTTTTGTCACAATATTTTATTTATTAAATACGTGAAGCATGCCCGCTATGTTGCAAGATCGTTTCACATGTCTCATGAGCTTGCACCACGCCCAACGATGCTGCTGCTGCTGCTGCTGCTGCTGCTGCCGCTGGCCCCTTGCCCAACGCCGACTGGGATGATCTCGTAGCAAAAGCCAAGGCCGTTCAGCTCGTAGCTGCGTAGGCTGCCCGGCAATATGAGCAGGCTGTTGTCGTGTCGCTGGTCCCAATCGGCTGCTACCAGCAGCTACTGCTTCGAAGCTGTCTGCTACTGCGAAGGTGTGGCAAGCGTCCACCAGCGCGTTGGACAGCGGGGGCGGCGCCGTCGCAATCGTCCACAGGCTTTGGCGGCATGCAATCAACTACTAGCTACCACTTGTAGTTGGTAAATGTTACAGTCTGCTCCCAATCTCGAAGCTTGACATACGAGGTTTAAGGCATAGCTTGTTGCTGGAAGAAAATCATGTAGGTTCCAACGTGATTTTGCGGATCTCCACGAGGGGTCATGAGGGTACTTCCAGTGTGCCTTCGAAGTGCTAAAGCAACAAGCCCCCCCAAAAACGTTTCGAGGCCACGTACCCGGAGCTCATTGCTGCCCGCCGTTGCAGGCTGGTTGTTTGGGTGCTCCAAGTGGGTGGCCGCTTCGGCGCACGGCGGATTTCCTCTGCCGGTTACACTTCCGGGAGGCAGCACGGCAAGCGTGTTGCCACCGGCCGGCGGGCATGAAGGCGGTCGCCGCGCGACAAACCCTTGGTTTCGTCTTCTGGACCGCAGACCAACACAACACAAGAAGAATAGAAGGATGATAAACAAGAAATGTAAGAGGAAAGAAAAGACAAACAACATCATATCAGCATAATAGCAAAACGGCGAACTGTTGCCAAGCCAGAGCCATTGAGACATGGACTTCATTTGGGTGGCCATTTCGGCTCTCTTGGTGGCATTGCTTTGTCAGCGCATCCCCCGTGGTGATATCCGCCGCCTGTGAGCATTTGAGATGGCACGTAGTGCAAGATAGAAATGTGCACATAACGTTGCAGCATGGTACTTGTGTAAGTCGGGGTGCGAACAATTCATTTTGACATGCGGTGAAATCCTACCCGATTTTCGAAACATCATGGAATTCAACCCCTGGACCCAGCATGCAATGCAAGGACATGCGCCTGTCGTGGAAACATGGAGCGTCTCCTGGCAGGCACGGTGCGAGTAAGATAGCATCATGACGGTCCTGCATGATGCCACGACGACAGCATGAGGGTGCTCCATAGCAATTGTCCCATGTTGGCAGCTTCATGTCAGCGGGCGCTGTGCTGCAGGTGCGAGGTGTGCTGCCCTTGCATAGCCATCGGTCTTGCGGCAGCGTCCGCATCTGATTTTTTTTGGATCGGGTGTTACATGTATTAACCACAAATTGCCAGGTTGGGGTGCATTATGATTGCTGCATCAGTCGGCGCGGAAAAACCAATCAAGGTTGGGCTTTATCGGCGCCATCAATTGGGAACAAGGCCTTGCAGGATGCTGTCTTTTGCACGCGAGGCTGTCATGATGCGAGACCACTTGTTGAAACACATTTGATTCTATTGGGGAATCTTCCCCTTGACATCCTGAGTGCCCTGCAAGCCGACAAGTCATGTTGCCTTCAGCCGCCTCGATGAGCGTCAGCCCGAAACTTTGGTGTAGCTGGCGGCCCAAGTCCACACAGAGTAGCGTGCTTTCGCCGATGGACAGTTGTCCCATTGGCTTCTTGGCAGCCAGCGCTACAGTGTAAGGCCTCAATTAATCCGTGCTGGTAATATAGATCCCTGTCGATGGGTGTAAGGAAAAGATGAACGGTTTCTCGCTGTCTTTCGGCTGTTTGTTGGCGTTGTTCATGGGGCCCTTTTGATGCCCTTTTCTCGACCCGGTATACGCAATGAAAAAAACTTTCCATACAGGTCACTCATTCGTTCTGTGGCAAGCATTTGGGAAAATGCCAAGGAACTGCTTTTGCAGCGAGATGGCGGGCAGCATGCGGAGACATGGCTGATCCAGATCTCTGGAAGCGCACGGTCGCGCACTCGGCTCTTCAGCATCTCGCCGCCAACGCCCATAAAAAGATTGCGCATCTGCAGCAGCTGACCAGCGACTTAGAGGTTGAGCGGGCCACTCGGATGAACATGGTGTGGCATGTTCCTAGCTGTTTTGTTGACCCAAACGGCTCTTGTTTTAACGGGTGTGAGTTAGCGATTTACTGCGTGCTTCGTGTGCTAGCATCCTGTCAAAGAGTGACGCATGCCTTGTCAGGATTTGGTGGCTGCAGATCTTCAGGTCATGGCCTTGGAAGAGTTGATGACGCACTCCCCGAGTCTCCGCTGAGTAGAAGGTCGTATACACAGGGTGCAAACGCAAACACAGCCCGTCGTCTGGGTCAGATAGGCCACACAAAAAAACATTGCCATGAAAACATCCAGCAAGGTTCGACACAGAGACTGTTGATCACACAGCTGGGGTTGTCATCTTGCTTCTATCTTTGTATGCCACTAGACGTTTGGAGTTCAAAGAGCCCATCTATAATATTTTGGCATATTTTGGGGAAAGCTCAGGAGTCCGGAACGTGATGTTCCTTTGTGTGAGGAGCGGCGGGCAGTCAATGGGAGGACGCTCGGAACTGCTGGGAATCGCTTAGGGATGTTTTGGCAAAAAAAGGGCTGGTTCGTGTATGTGGGACTATGCTCTGAGAGGCTTTGAGGTTTAGGGTTTCTGGGTGTTTAGACGCGTTTAATGTAAATAGGCCTAGGCTTTACGTGTTTTTGGGTTCAGGGTGAGGGTCAGTGGGTGTGATCAGCACATAGACTTGAGTACTCGTATTTGGTCACTTACGGCAGCCCCCCCCCCCCTTTTGCGATCCTGAGCAAATCGCACTTGATCCCTCCTGTTGGTGTTAGAACCGGCAGTTGCCGAATCACGTTGGGCGTATCAAAAGCATCTTGGGGTTGGAGGGCCTTTCCTATTAGATCCTATTAGCATGAGAGGACTATACACTGAGCAGGATGCAAGTTTTCCTGGTCGAGTGGCGGGGAACATTTCCTTCTAGCCCACTTGCTCCCCTTCTGCCCTTGCAGGCGGGTAGCTTTTCTAGTGCATGGTAATGGTGGGGTCTTTCCTCAACGCACTCAGGCTTTTAAATGCGGTTGAAGGATGAATAGCAAACCTGACAAACCATTTTGTTGCGAGAGTGGGTTTCCCCCGACGTACACCCGAGAAACTCCTCGTTCTAGCGACATCCAAAAACGGACCCCTAATTGGCAACTCCACATCAGTTGCCAGGAAGCGCGCGGCCCTTCCAGCAGCGCCGCCCCTCGGTCCAATGCCGGATGGTACTTTCCGTTCAACGGTAGACTCATGGAATCGCAAGCGCGATCGCAAATGGGTGGAGAACAGACTGGGCATACCAGAAGAGGGATCCCTGCCTGCAGAAGTATTTGGGATGTTGTGCATTTTGTTTAGGATGCTTAAGTACCCCAGCTGCACCCAACTACGGGTGGTTGTTGGATGTTGTTGGAACGTCTATTTCACGTGTAAGGTGACGGGAGTACAACATTTGTGAATGAGCTTGACACTTCAGTTGTCATCGCGGTGGGCTACCGCAGGGTTCTATATGGCGACCATGGGCCGTATCTTGAGTTCACTAAGCACCAGATAAAGTGGGAAAGCTTTCCAGTTGTCAAGCCAGACAAGCCTTCGCATGCCTATTACGATGAACGCTTTACAGAGGATCAACACGTGAAGGCCTACGAGCAGCGAAAGACGGTGCGTGACAAGCCAAACCCGCCCCCAGGTCCTTGGTCAGCAAGCCACAACCGCTTCGACACGGGTTACGCAGACTATCAGCCTGGGTATGTATACGTGTCAGCGGACTGTGTTGATGTTTTGCCTCAGAGCCGGCCAAACAAACGGGTAAAACGCGGTACTTCGACTTCGAATGACAAATGCGTTGCTCCCACGGCAAAGTTCTTGTTTGCAATATTTCGAAGGCTTGCACTTCTTGAAGGGGGTTGTTGAATGTCCATGTTAGAGAAGTTTTGGCCTTTGGCGTCCATGTCTCCCAAACTAGGAGTGCATGGGGATCATCTTGTACATTCCAGAGCGAAGCCTTGTCTCAAGGTTTCCTTCACCAAATTCGATTGTGCTGCATTTTTTACTCAAGGTTCTCGAGCTTTCGCGCTGTTATTAGCAGCTGAGACAGGCAATCCCACAGATGAACAAGCTTGTGCGAACCTTGTCACACACAACCCGTGCCTCCTCGGTGTACCGGCTTGAATCCGGGCCGACGTCCCGAAACGGGCAGTGGATCAGCGGACATCTGTTGTGGCAGCATACGCAGTTGCAACAGCTTTAGCTGCTTTTGCCGAAGGCGTTCTGCCGCTTGTGAAGAGCAAGCTAGTGACGGCAATCGGCACACCAGCGTGATTGCAGCGCAGCTCCATCATGATTGAGGGATGATGAGCACAGCTTAGACAGGCTTGCGCGGCTCGTAAGAGGTTGTGCATTTGAATTGCTGATGCTCGATCTTGCAGGTTTCTTCTTCAGCCCAGATGAGTCCACGGGCGGCTGCCAAGGTCCCGATTACCACTTTGGTGACAAGGAGAGGCAATGGAGGACGGATTGCAAACTTGCTGCCGCGTGCTTTGGTTTTAAGGCATCAACAAGATCAGACATCTGTCACAAGTTTCTTAAATTCATGAGTCCTCTCTTGGAGTCCTTAGCAGGCATCTTCCATTCCATTGTTAAATTGTTTAGGTGCGATGAATTTTTCTGAGTTTGAGAAATTTCCATGTAGGCCCCTGCCTTATAAGCCCCTGTTGTACAAGGATGCGAATCGTGGCATCATTGCCATGGTCACCGCAAAAAAGGGGCTTATTAATCGAACTCTCCAGAGTACCAGTGATGACCAGAACAATAGTCAGAGCAAGGACGCACCATTATATTTGCGATAACAAGCAGAGCGATGACAGCAGTCGTTGGACTGGTCTTTGAAATGAAAGGCACTCGTGACATCTCGTGATGTTTTGCATCCAAGCAAGGATATTGACCCTTGGTGGGCAACCCGCTGTTTCATGAAGCATGTTCGATATACTCCTTTGAGAGTTGGCAGCAAGTTCTTTATTTAGCAGGTTGCTGTAGCCTTAAGCACTAAACTAAACCATACTAAACCTTAAGCCGGTCCTGCAAGTGTGCATTCGTTTGCTGGCAGGAGTGCGTGGAAAGGCGAGTGCGCCTTCCTCTACAGGAATGAGCCAGAAGATAAGAAGGCAGTGCGAGCTGTTTGGCTTGAAGGCTAGTAAGCGACTTCCAGGCTAGAAGGCGTCCTCGTCTTTTGCAATGCCCCGTGTCTACAAACCGGGCGCCTCGTTGAACTCCGCAGGTCTTACACTGGCGGTCTCCTCGAAGTGATGAGTATGATGCTTGCTACCGGCTCGCCTGCAAGGTGGCACTCTGCGTGCAGTGTCTTATGGGTCTGGGAGTATGACCATGGAGCCAGTCATCTGCAAACTAAGCTGGCAACCCCTAGAATTCAACCTATGGCGAGGAGTTCTGCAGAACCCATTGGTGTATGTCGAAAACCGTGCCTGCCCCAGAGAAGTTGAAACAAATTGTGATGTGTGCCGATGGAGCGCCACTGTCAGGTTGCAGCTGCAGTTTGGTCATTTTCAGTCTTTCTGGTCTTGACCTCTCTCTGCTGCTGCGCCATCGTAGGCAGGAATTTGTCAGGAGTGTTCCAGTGCCCTGTGAAAGTAGTTCAGAGTCTTTCTTCTCGTCCTTGCAGGCTACAAGCTAGGATCCCAGCTGTCCAGCCCGGACAGACGTGAGCTAGGCAGGGAATCAGTGGTGGCCAGCTGAGTCTAACAGTCAACTGACATCAGCTTCTCCAGGCGGCAACGCGAACAACGTGTGCAGCAGCGCCAGCAGCAGAGTCTGACTGGGGTCGCATGCTAACAACAGGGGGAGCCAAGACGCGCACGCGCGCAAAGGCGGCTCGTGCTCACTGCTGTCACAAAAGTGGCCCGAGAGCTTAGTACATGTGACTGTGGAGATCTCAGCGGCTACGCAGCCCAAGGGTTGCAGCAATTTCACAGGAGCAGAAGGGAGTTATCTTTTGTCACATCTTGTGGCCTGTGTACCGCTGATCACTTAGTAAGCAATTGCATGACATGGCATGGGCTGAAGGGCATCCCAGGCGGGAGTCCTCTTCACTGGGATGGCTTTCCTCCTATGCTTACAGCTTGCCAACGGCAACGGCATGCTCGTGCCCAGAAGCCAGCTTGATGAGTGAGTCTGTTCATGCTAGATAGCTTCAGAAGCTGTTGGTGCACAGATGTCTGCACGAGAATTTGTCGAGACATAGGTTTTTCTTTGTAACTTAACTAGTGAGATTTCTGCATCGGCAGGGTCGGCAGAGCCAGGAAGCCTGTCAGTGCATGGCCAGGTCGATTTTCATCTGCTACCCAGATCTCACCAGTGTTGGCTTGCGCCTTTCACCAAGAGCAAAGCTCGCCAAGAAGGGCGCTCGTTGAGAAAGGCGCTCCAGAGTTCATTGATGTCATCATTCATGGCATAAGACAGGCGCCTACTGGTGTGATGCGCTTCTCTGTAGGATGCTCTGAGTTCCTTGCATGCTTGACATAGGTCGAGCTGCATTTGCAGTGCTACTGACATTTAGACTTACCGTGGCAGTCCAACTTTGGGCACGCGTCATTGTAGCTCCATCAAAGCTGAAGGTACAAGGTGCACTCCGCATTACTTAGATTCGTTTGGTTGTCTCCATGACAGCCATAAGGCAGAGTTGCAAGCCCTCTTGTGTAGGGGTTTGTGTGTTCAGGCTTTGTGGGCTGCCCTTGTGGCGAACAGTGACAAACTGTGAGTCTGGCCACCCCTTGGTATGCTCGCCTAGGGTCAGGACGTCCGCAGCTGGAGGGGGAGCAGCCTCAGTTGCATGCATTAAACGGACATGGGTGGTTGTCAAAATTCTGGGCCCTTTCTGCATTCCTGTTATAATACGGCACCTAATATTTAGGGTGCCCTAAAAGGGACCATAATTTTGACAACCACCCACATGTAGAAGCGTCTCCGTCCAGTACCGCGCAGGTCCTGCAATGTTGTTTTCTGGTCTACAAGAGACTTGCACAGATTGGAAGCATTGCCATATCCCACAGGGATTGCAACGATGCGATTTGCATGGGCTGCTCGGCATCTCTGTGCAGGATGTGCAGGAGCATGATGCGAGATCCAGATGTCATCAGGACCTTTTGATTTGCTTTTGCCAGGATTTTTTCCAAACCCTGCCAGAGGGCGGGCAGCCAGTAAATATTCACAACTGTGAGCAAGCAGCTTGGTATTGCTCGGGTCAAATCCTGGCACCGCGGCTCGAGACAAAAGAAGGGAAGTTTTTTATTGACAGTTGATGTGCTACGCGGATCAGGGCCTATATCGGGTTTAGAGTAGAAGTTAGGAGGACCCCCCACCCTGTAATAGTGGTATACTAGGAATATAAGAGGACCCTAATATAATCCTTATTATCCATAATAGTCACTATTACTGGGTGGGGGGTCCACCTAAAGTAGAAGGATCAGAGGAACGGATCGCAGAATGGAAAGCACTATGTTGCTTGGGGTTGCTCAGGAACTGCCACACGCAGGGACCCTTTCCTCCACGCCCGGTTTAGGGTTTAGGATTTAGGGTCGCTGTACAGCCCCATGTCGAAAGGAAGATGTTGCTTGTCAGGGTTACAAGGCATGGACACTGCCTCCGCCCTAAGTGTCCTGAACTACTGCAGTTGTAATTACTTTGCACACTTACTGAGGGCCAATAACTAACAGATGTGGGGGTTTCCCAACATTAAGGGTTCCTTTTTGGGGTTTCCCTGTAATGATAAGGATTAGGCATGGTTTGGGGTCCATATTGGGGTCCCCTATGTATGGAACTACCACATAACCCTACGCTATATAACCCTGATAGTAGCTTCCATTTTCTTTTTCATAATGCCTAAGCATACCCTATATAAACCCTATTGAATCCCTATATAACCCCTATATCGACCCTCTTGAATCCCCAGACAGCCCCTACATAACCCCTGTATCCCTGGCTTGGTTTTTGATCCCAACCATGGCTCTTGCCGTACCTTGTCCCTGTCGGCTCATGCTTGGCTACTGCTTTGGCCAGCCAATCCTCTGAAATAGTAGTTCTTGGGGGGTTTAGGGTTTAGGGCTTAAAATGTCCACGGGCTTAAAATCCTCTGAAATGGGAGTTCTTGGGGGGTTTAGGGGACAGGGCTTAAAATGTACCAAGGGCTTAAAACAGAGAGCAACATCATTCCTTGTACTGTTATGGTACAGGGTGCCCGAAAATGGATCTCAAAATGATCTGACAGGGTGGTGGATCTCACTCTGCTTTGCCATTTACGGGGTGTGAGGATACTCCCACCAAGCAAGACAAGGTGAGCCCACTGTGGTTGCTGACAGTATTCTGCGTGCATAATAGTTAAATCCTAACAAAACGATTTAACCCGTTTAAACCTAAAGAGTGGTGAGCACATCATCTTCAAACACAGCCTTGCCATCTTACTCCGACCACCTGTGGCGGCACCATGGTGAGGTTCTCAGATTCAACCGGAATCGCGGTGTCTGTTTCATAGGGATAAGGGTTTTGGGTTTAGTTTTCCGGGTTTCAGGTTTTGAGTTACAGTTTGGGTTTAGTACTTGGGGTTGAGGTTTAAGTCAATCTTGTGTGTGGTCTGAACGAGCCTACTGGGTGATTGAGGGAGCATGCACGCCGACTAGCAACCAGATTAACCTGGGTTGTAGAACTATAGAACGATGGACACCCAGATCCTACTCTGATTGACTTCTTCCTCCTGTTCTGAACGACTTGTCCGGACGAGTTGTCATGGATTGATTATCAGGGGGCCGGGTAGTGTTAAATATGAAGGGGAGGCCTTTGCATGAAGCTCATGAGGTGTGCTCCGCCCCAAATGGAGATTTCTTTAAATTATTTTAAATTCCAAACAAGTGCCACAACCCCGAACTGCCCTGAATCACGAGGTCCTCTCCGAGGCTGAGAAGGCAGCAAGAGCAAAGGCGGAGAGGGAGGCCACTTTCGGATGAAGGGTAATCGGATTATCTAGGGTTGAAATAGGGATAATGGAAAAGAACATGGAAGCTGCTATCTGATAATAGGGTATGTATAAGGGTTATACGGGGATAATGGAAAAGAACATGGAAACTACTGCAATGGATAGGCTTTAGGGTTGGGGTTATATAGGGATAATGGAAAGAACATGGAAACGATTATATTATATAGGGGTTATATTGGGGGTTTAAACGGTTTTCACAGAGGTTGAAGGGGTTTCACTCATTGGTTGTCATGGGCGGGACCCTAAACCCTAAACCCTAAATTAACCGGTTCGGGGATTTCTGGGTCTGGGGATGTCTGGGGTGGGTGTTTCGTTTTGTTTCTGTAGGGTTTAGGGCCCAAATCAAAATTTCAGGCTCCAGAGATCGACGAGGACATCAAACATTACCTGCGCACTGTTTAGGGGTGCAGATTTTGTGAAGGGATTCGGGTATCGTCGCGGAGGGAGCAGTCAGGAAAGGGAGGGAAGCCAGAGTTCTAGGTGGAGTTTGCGGGGGCCGCTGCGTTTCGACTTGGTGCTTAGCAGGGTTTGGGGGATCCTTGAAGGGTCCCCTCACTCATCCTTACATCATGACGCCTTCAATCCGTTCCCCAATCCTACCAAGCACCAAACCCGACCCTGCAGTCCCCAAGATGCAAATACTGAAGCCTAAACCCGGCCAGGGCGTTTCCATGCAGGTAGCGCGATGCCTTTGCTCAAGCCCCCAAATCCGACAAAACTAGGAACAGCTTCGCTGGTAGCTCTAAGGAAGTTTCAGGTGGGTAGTCTCCCCCATATAAGCATTGTATAGACCTTGTATAGTCCTAGTGCCCCCACATAAGCCTTACTTAAGCCTTATGTAAGGGTACCCGCCTGATAACTACCCACATGAAAACTCCGTTGAGTAGTGGCATGAAACCCTAGACCCACTCATAGATTTGCAGGCCCTGGCCGCCAAAAAGGCAGAGAAGGAGCGGATCGAAGCAGCGACTTGGCAGCGCAAGCGAAAGCAGTTTGCTTGCGGGTTCCTAGGAGTTTCCCAAAATCAGGGGTACCATTTTGGGGGTCCCTCTAATAAGGATTATAGTATTTTGGGGTCTATCTTGGGGTCCCCTTATTTCGGGGTATACCTCTAAGTCCATAGGTATGGGTTGCAAGGTACAAGCTAACCCTACGTTTAACGATCCATGAACCTCCAAACATGGTTTGGGATGTGTGTGGCTAGATATATTATAGCTTAGGTCATTCCCCCTTACAGTAACTGTTCCCACAACAGGTAATAGGAGTTACAACGACCACACAACAAAGCCACCTTAAGGACAGTTACTGTAGGGGGGAATGACCCAAACTATAGTAGTTTCCATTTTCTTTTCCATCATCCCTATAATATAAACCTCAAAGCCACTATAATAGTTTCCGTTTCATTTTCCATTCTCCCAATAAAACCCCAAGGGTTTTTGGATTCACTCTATCAACATTCGGCTGACGCAAGGAGGTCATGGCACTGAGGGTAATGAAAATAGGTAGCCGGGCTCCCTGGCCATCGCGTGCACGTGCAGCCGGTCCCATGGCTCTCGTTCAGAGCGTACGCCGCCGCTTCTAGCTCATTGCCACAGTTGTTGTCGCTTTGTTCCCTCGTGATTGCTAGCTTTTGCATGCCTGGGAGCTCTTGGGGTCCTTTATAAGTGCTCTTGGGGTCTTGTGAGTCCCTGTTTGGGGTCTACGCCGGCATGGTAGGGGAGAAAGGTTTTGCATCGGCCTATTGGGGTCGGAGCTCTTGAGAACAGGCCTGAGCTGGATCATTGAGTTAGGCGTGGCTTCAGTACATGAATAGTGACTTAAGCGTTCAAGTGCGGATGTACTACAGCATGTTAGGCCTGTCACTGCATGGGAGACGATGTGAAACAATTAGCAGGTTTCTTTCGAGCTGGCGGGGGGGGGGGGCATTTTGTTGTACGCAGGATGCGGTGAACGAAATCCTCACCCATGAAGGTTTGGGGCGGTGGGGTGTACCTTGAACGGCTTCTGCATGTAGAGCCTAGTTCTAATAGCCGTGAGGAAATCCGTGCAGACCGGGACATGTACAATGCGGTGCGCACCAACGCAGCTCAGGACTGCGCAGCAATAGCTCAGGGCGAGCCCTGCATGTCACAGACTTTCTGTAGTTGTTAAAACTGTATGGTCTTAAAGTTAACCTTAGGCATGGCTTTCACCAGGAAGCTCCGGCTGCACCCCCTCGCCTACTAATTCGTGTGCGCTATGACGTGGATGGCAAGAAAGGCCCGTTCGTGTTCAGATTCAAAGCAGCTCTTGTCTATAGTCCCCCTTAGGTAGATAGAATCTGGCTTCGGGTATATTGCAATAAGATCCCCATATACCCCATATTCTGGGATCCCTATAGGGTTGTATGATACCCTTTTTCCTAAGAATTCCGAGCGATGACCCCACTTTGGTATGAAGAAAGGGTATAGGGGTATATGGGATATTATCACCTTGAAGCCCATTTTGGCTAACACATGGTATATTTCTTATTATAGGCACCCCCAAAATGGTGGCTCTAATTTTGGGAAACCCTAAGCCGTATATACTGCATCCCTACATAACCCTATATATCCCGTATACAAGGACCTCTAATTTTGGGAACCCCCCCTCAAAATCTCCCCAGGATGCCTTAAACTCCGTTTTCCTGGACAGTGCAGAGGTCGCAGGCCGCTGGAAGTGGACGGCACCACGGAAACCGTGAGCTTGTTCCATTTTTACCAGGCGGCTGATCTGCTTTTGTTTTGATCCTAAATTAGGGGACCCCTATCTAGACCCCAACATATTATATTTTTGGACCTTCCTCCCCTTTGTTGGCTTTTGCCAGCAGTGGCAGGTAGCGTCGGCATTCATTGACAACAACGCGTGCGGAATTCCACATTACTTGCTTTTAATCCTCGGACCCTCGATGGAATCCCAATACCCCCAAAGCATGGTTTTCCTTGGAGGCCGTGGACGAGCACTTCCATGTGTCACCAGCGCGACAGGTCCTGCGACCTGCAGATGAGCTGCGCCCTAAGATGCGCACATTGGAATGGAACGTCATGCATAACGTCATATACTAATATGGGTATGCCCATGCGGGCGGGTGTTTCCAAGTCCTTGTCCAGAATTTTTGTCCGTGTAGTTTGAAAATTGGGACAACAATATTTATGCTCACATTTGCATGCACGCTGTATGCGCCATCGTCTTCGTCTGATTTCGGTTATTCAGACGTGTTTGCATGTGTATATGTATATATATGTGTGTGTATATATGCACATGACTTGTAGATGCAGTTTAATGACAGCGAGACAGCGAAGCTGCCATATCCCCAGAATTCTTTCCAGATCCGTAGAAGAAAGGTTATGGCTCTTGATGACGTTGGATTTCTGGGATCATTTTTCGTAGGGTTCCCGGTTCCCAGAGCCAGGGAAAGTGTGGTCGGGGCTGTTGATTCTCAATAGCGTTCTACATAAGCCCTGTCTTCCTTCTCTCTCTCTGTCTTTCTAGAACATATGTATATATGTACACGTATATGCATGCATCTTTCACGCGCGCAGGGCTGCAATCTCAATCATGCACACGTGTATGAAGAGTAGGGCTCCCCCACGCATCTAGTCCCCCTTAAGTAGATAGAATATGGCTTTGGGGTATATTGTAATAAGGACCCCAAATGCACCACATTTTTATCTACTTAAGGGGGACTATACCTCAACGGAGTATGGGATTTGGTGGTTGGTTCTTGCTGTTGCGCGCGGCCTGCAAGGTCAAAGTTTCCTGTAGAGCCGAAGGAGGAGGCTATTCCTAAGTTGAAGATGTGAGCCATAGTCTAAACTCCTTACAGGGGGATTATATAGGGGACTACCATAGGGGTTTCTAAGGGGTATACTAGGAGTTTAGACTATGGCTTATGTGATTTTGGCTTTAGGATAGAGGGCCTCTCACGTCGGGATATATGGGGACTACAAGCAGATGATGGGGCGCCCTTTTCAGGGCCAATTATATATATATAGAGACCAGTTGAAGACAGTCCTATTAGCTTTGGGTGTTGATTCCTAGTAGAAGCCGTGGGATGACATGGGGGAGCTTCTGAAGATAGACCCTATATCTAGCCAAGGGACATAATTTCTTCGGAATTTCCAGGCGGGCAGTTTCCTCCATACAGGCTTTACATAGCCTCATATACCTCCTAGGTCCCCATATAAGCCTTATACGAGCCTAACAGGCCCGGCAACTCCCCACCTGAAGGTTCCCTTCCAGAATGCCCCCAAGATCCTTCTACGTACCTCGAATCCTGACGTATCTCCAATGAGTGAGGTATCTGTACATCTTGCTTTAAGCCCATTCTGAGAAGCTTCTTAGAAGTTGAAGTTCGCAGCGAAGAGGATATTGAGGCAATTGTGCAGAAATGGTATGTGGACTGCAGCACCAGGTAGGGGTGATCATATCGGAGTAACGCAGCAACTTTCATTAAGTATTTGGGCAGGGTGTAGAAATGGCAAAGCAGTGGTGTGGCAAAGAGATTGTTCGTTGGAGGTGTGGAAGTCCAACAGGTGTATATAGGAGTCGTGTACGGCGTAGGCAAGAAGGAAGTACACGTGAAAGAAAAAACACAGATAAGGACTTTATAGTCTCCATAGGGTTCAAACAAACCAGCATAATTCATTTTCTGATCCCTTCCTGGGAGGCCCAAAATTAGTACCAACATGTCTCCTTTAGAATCCTTACATAGCTATCATGCAATATGCCTCAAGATCTTATTCTAATCAAATAAGCCCTCCTGTGAGGCCCTTCCTCCTTACAGTTCCTTCGCCTCCGTCGAATCCTTTCCCAGCTTGGAAAGCTTGGGATTAAGGAATGGCCAGGCTGCTCGTCTGAAAGGGGTCCAGGCAAAACAGCCACAGGTTGGGTCATATAGGGGCTTTAAGGGATATGGGTACCCATTGGGGTAATATTAGGGTTATGTAAAGGGGTTCTGGGGATAATGGAAAATACAATGGAAACTGCAATTTAGCATGTAGGGGTTGAAAAGAGGAATGACTCAATGGAAATCAGAATATAGGGTTCTTTCGGGTTTAGGGGCTGAAATAAGTGGTGACTGAATGGAAATCAAATGGAGAAGACAGTGGAGGCACTGAACGGAGCCTGGGTTGTAGAGAGTTTGTAGAGACAAGCTGTTAAGCGTCAGAAGGCTCCTAGAAAAGCGCCTAAGATCACTGCAAGTCCCATGTATGCAGGGTCGATAGGGTCGATGCTGATTACTTCGTATTCTACCGAGAATTAGTAGTTTCCCAAAAACAGGGGGACCCCAATATGGACTCATGGACCCCAATGCACCACAATCCTTATTCTGGGGATGCCGACAATGGTACCCCTAATTATGGGGAAGCCCAGTTAGTGAAGCTCTAAAGATTACCGGGACATACCGGGACGCTATTTGAGTCTCCCCACTAGCTAGAAACAGAAATAAAACTCCAGAAGCTAAGCCATGGCTTTACGGAAATGGGGTATATAAGTGGAATGTTGAGGTCGGGCTTTCGCCTTGGTGGGAACTAGGCCAGTTCGTCTCGTCATCGTTTAAGAAGTCACCTTGAACATGCGAACCAGGAAATGTAATCCCCCCCCGAAACTGCTCAGCCTAGTGGACATGTTGCTTGATATCGTCAGTTGGTTGCAGGGCTGAGTCAGCTAGTATGGGTGGGAAAAAAGCCTGGGATTCATTCAAGTTGCGCGGAGATTTGCATGTTTCCTGTAGTCATTAGTTAGGGCGCTAGGGCCCCTTGCCGTGTCTGTAGCTTGTTGCTGAAGCCTCAGGTGAAACAGAATACAAATGACGCTGCATGGTCTACCCTTGGCCCTTGAACTTAATACTTAATTTACACCACTGCTTGCGAATATGCCAGCCAAGTCAAGCTTGGGTTGACAACCCTGCCCGCTTCTGTCTTTGTCAGCTCAGGAGCTGTTCCTGACAGTTGGCACAGAGGACTGGTGGGGCACGTGTGTGGGGTTAATCCGTTCTGCCCGAGAAGAAGCCCCAGCCTGCTGTGACGCCGTGATCGTATGTGATCGTTCATGGAGGTCCAATGTAAAACACGTTGCTCGAAGGTGCCATAAGCAAAGTGAAAGTTCAATTGCCGCCTTGACTAACCGACAAGATTTATCGCGCCTTCTCATATCACGACGGCAGTCCGGACTCCAGATCTTTAAGCCTTACGTTTGTAGCATGAATCCTGAGTGCGGAAGCTCGCAATCCTGAGCCTGAAGCCCCAGGCTCTAATCCCAAGCTGCATCGCGAAATCCTACAAATTACGCTTCAGGGGCCAGAACTTCAGACAGACTTAGAGGTACGGCTGGCCATGCTTAAAGCATGATCTGTGTATCCTCGATTGGGTGTGTGTCAGGCAGCGGCCGCAGCACCGCCTACACCTGCTGCGTCCGAAGGCAGGGTTCTCAGGTTGTCAAGGTATTCGTTCGTTAGCCAGTACCGCAACACTACCGTGAGCTGTGGATGACACGCCTGCAGAGTATATAAAGTTGCCCTACAAGGCCATCCTTGTCAAAATTTCATGAAATCACTGCGAAGTGACATGCCTTCAGTCTTTGCAAGGGATCTTAGCACTTCGTGATCTGAGGAGGACCCCAAGGGTCAGAATTGCTGCTGTGTAACAAACAAATTTAAACGTTTCCAAAGTTTCTGTCAGGTGTTGTGTGCTGCGAGATATTAACCTTGCACATTAGGGGAGCTATTAGGAGCTCCGTAGTTGGAAATCTTGAGTCAGCCACTGAACCTCTTCCTATGCAGCCTCTTCAGTGCTTCTGCCAGAACAGCAGCGTCTATTGCTGCTGCTAAAGCTGCAGCAGCTGCCACTGCCTCCTAACACTACGACTGATGCTGCTGCCGCTGCTTGCTGTTCTCACAATTACAACACCAGCACCAACAACGGTAGCAACGATGAGAATAAACAGAAGAAACTCAATTTCTGCAACTGTACCAACAGCAAAAGCAGCAGCAGCAGCAGCAGCAGCTGCTGCTGCTGCTGCTGCTGCTGCTGCTCATACAAAAAAAGGTGCGAGTAAAAGAGCTGTGCAGTGCCACAGTGTACCTACTGCAGTCGGTCCTTCTGCTGCTGCCGCTCCTGTGATGGCTACTGTATGAAGGAAGCTAAATGCATAAATCTAGCATTCAAACAAAACTCTATCAATCTAAAGGCCCGGAAGAGGATGAGAGAGCATGCTCGTTTGTGCGAGGGGCGCCAGTTTCCGTCCCACCGGAACCGAATGGAGCAGGCTTTTGCGAAGGGTTCTTTGCATCATAGGAAGTACTAGCTGTCGCCACTCAACCTCATTTTTCAGTTAGCGTCCTTCCCGCTTCATGTGGAGCCGGGCTTGCTATCTGACGGGGGCCCACGTCAGGGGTTGCTATGACCAGGATTCTGGTATTTGGGGATATCTGCGGCATATTAGGGATCCTTCTGTGGGGCACTTGTATCCCTAGGGTTGCGAATCATTTCAGAGACTCAGAGGAGACTCCTTCCAGCATTGGCGAAGACAATGAATGGCTTGGAAATAAGCCTCAAACTCTGAACTGTGTGTGATCAGATGGAGTTCTGGGCAGTTGACGCCCATGTTCTTATGCTCTTCGACAGCTACAACTTAAGGTGAGGCATGTGGTCAAGATTCTTTGCTTCGAACCCCATACGCGACTTGCGCAGCCTCGAGCCATGCATATACCTCGAGAGCCTCCAAAAGACTTTGCTGGGCCCTATGTAATTGCCCAAAATCCGCGTGCGGGCATATTCTGAAATAAGGGTCTATGTAGCAGGCACTCGAATCCTATAAAAGCTGCGAAGACGAGGGGTTGGTCAGGTTACGAGGATGCCCCCTCTGCTGGTAGCGCAGGAGGCAGACGCCTCAGAGCATGTTACTTTGTGTAGTCTGCGTGTGAGTAGCTTTCAGCATCTTGCAGCAGTGTCAGAAATCGACCATCCAGAATTTCAATTGTATACCGGCGCTGATGACCATATTGGA